ATTGTGGCAAGAAGGAGGAAATGTAGGCGGGTGTTCATTCGCATTGATTTCTTTACCATTTGGCATTCAAAGTTCAATTGCTGTGCGATACACAGGCCACTTCCCTGCTGGAAACAAAGGCACAAACTCTTCGTATACATATAGATATATTCTTATTTGTAGCTAAACCCCCTGCTGGGAGGACAAAGGCCGCTTTTGGTCTTCAGCTCCCTCTGAAGAATTCCCAAACTGTGTGATGATTCCCTCCCTGCCCACTCCTTTCTCTCCCATTCTCCCTTTGCTGTTTCTTAAGGGTCAAAGAGAACACACTACAAAAAGGCAGAGGAGGGGGGAAAAAAAGCATATTAAAGATCAATGCTTTCTTCCCCTGCAGTGCCAGCCTCGGTTGAGAAATGAATATGAAGATGACTATAAATAAAAGATAAAAGATGATGTGGCATTTGGAGTAAAATATTAACACCTAGCACAATGTGATGGATCAAAGTCCAACCAAATTAACCCCCTGGGATAAACACAGGCCTTGTTTATGTTGGATTTGAGAAATGAAGACCTCTCTCTCTCTCTTTTCTTTTTCCTCCTCTCTCTCTTGTTAATCCTGTGTGTACACACACAGAGAGAGAAACAGAAACAGAAGCCATGAAATTGGGATGAGAGGATGGGGTGTCTCAATGAGATATTTTGTTCTTGGATTTCTAAGTGATGCCACCAGATCAGTAGTGGGATTCAAATCCCGTTGCTATTGGTTTGCTTGTGGGCGGGCGTGCACATATGCGTGCATGTGTGTGCTGCTTCTGTGCATGTGCAGAAGCTTCTGTGCATTGTTGTAGCCCGTCAGCGGCCTGTGCAGTTAGTAGCTGATTCCGACAGCTAGGAGGCTGGTGTGGTGCTGTGCCAGCAGTCTGTGCAGTTGGTACTCAAGTCAGACAATGGGAAGGCTGAAGATGATGTGGTGCCAGAGGTGGGGATTCAGCCAGGGCCTTCAGAACCTCCAGAAGCTCCCATAAGTGAAGAGGAAGAAGAGAAGGAGCCTCTTCTCGATGCACGAGCGCACAGAGCTGCCAAAAGGCAGGAGTGGTTCCTCAGGGGGAGGTCTCCTCGAGAGTAAGGCTTGGGGCTAATTGGCCACTCCCATAGCCTATTTAAGGAAGGATGACGACTGAGGCAATTTGCAGGAAACAACTTCATTCACATTCCTTCGAGTCTTGATTCCAGAAACGTTTGATTTTGGCTCTTTATTTTTCTCTTATCAGTTTTCCTGCAAATTACTTCTGGGCATTCTGCCAACCACAGTAAGATTATGGTTATCTGAAATACTGTGCCTCAGAACTGAATTATTATTCTTTGAATTCTTGTTGGCTGTTAATGAAGTTAAATTAACAGCCCTTGTTCAGAAAAGACTGATTTAAATTGTACTTGTGTTCAAACAACTACTAAGAAAGCTCATTAGTAGTCCTTAATTAGTAAACTAAGGTTTGTACGGACTTCGTGTGTGCTGCATTCTTTGGGGTCCATAGCTGGGGCAGAACATGCATGCACAGAGATGGGCGGAGCCTGCTGCCACCGCTGCTACTGGTTTGCCTGACCCAGGGTGAGCTGATAGCAACCCACCACTGCACCAGACTTTGGGGCTGGGCTACTATGTTAATTGCTCATCCAGTTAGGCAGGGATCTCAAATGCTAAGGCAGAAACAACAGACAGGAACACTTCCTCTGCATTTCCTGATCCAGAAGTCCATGTTACAATTTAAAATAAATCTTTAAAAGGTCATTTTCCATTAAGGGTTTACACCCGCTGCTTGCTCTTTTATCATTAAAGGGTCAAGCCTCTGTGTCTATAATCTGATAATAGTAGGATTCTTTTCTCTCTTTCTATTTATTTAATAAAAGAGATATAGAGGGAAAAATCATTAATATAGTAAAATCAAGAAAAAAGATAAATTGTATGCATAAGGGCTTCTCATACTGTACAATCAGTCTTGAGAGAGAGAGAGACAGAAAGAGAGAGAGAGAGAGAGAGATTATTAATTTCATTATAATCATCCATGCATAATCCACGTCTACAGGCAACTCACATAAGGTGCATGCAACATCAGTTCTTCAACCAGGTATCTAGGCCATAAATATGTCTTTCCTATATTAAAAATTAGCAGGAATAAGAATAGGGGGAATCAATTTTGGTTGACTAGCTGTCAATTTCTATGTAGTGTATATGCAGCTATGTTGCCTTTTTCCTGGTTGTGCATGAGACACAATGGCCTTTGATACCTAAGCAAGACAAAGTGACTTTGGGCACTTGGACCTTCTGGTACCAAGATTTATCCACCTCTAATCCTAGATGGAGGTGACACTGCCTCAGACCGAACCAGACCCAATCAGGGGGGTCTCTTGGATTTAAGAAGAACAGCTGACAGTTGTGGCTATGAGGCCAGATATGAAGAACCTAAGTTTTGGGATGCGTTTTAGCACCTAAAGTTCTTGGCTTATTCATGAGTATATAATGTAAATGTCATTCCATTCTGGATAATTTTGGTGGGGAGACTAAAAGAGCCAGTTTTCTTGACATGTCAGATTATTTCTATTGCATTAGCATCTTCAAAACTCACCAGTTCTTTTAGTGGATCCATATTTGAAACAAAGCCAAACTTATGGGTATTGATTTCAGTTGAGTATTGTCAGACTTAATAGCATATGTTGGTTTTGGTTTTTGCCAGAGCTCCTTGTTTTGAAACACAAAGACAGTTTGATGAGGGAAAAAACTCTGTAAAACCACATACTTATAGGGAAGAGAAGATTGCAGTATTTGTGTGTGAATATATTTTTAATTTATAGTCCTGAGGCTGTCCAGTCTGTGCTTAATTTCCACTGGTATTTGATCACTTCAGTAAAAATGGAATACTTTGAAGAAGAAAGTTCATTATGTGTTTGTTGATTTAGAGAAAGTCTATTGTTAAATGAAGTTGATATATTAAATTATGGAATGTTTTGCATGGATATAGCGTTGTTGAACATAAAAAAAACTGTACATGATGGAAGGCAAGAATCCAGGGGAATAAATGGAATGCTTTGCAAAGGGTTCAATATGAATCAGAGAATATCAAATATATGTGTGTTATCTTGTTTTTTTTAAAAAAAATAATTTTTGAATATGCGTATAAAGAATGCTTGTAAAATTAGAGTGGTGTTGGTTAAGAATATGAATGTGTGTTTATATTTGTATGCAGATAATGGTACATTGTTATCTGAGAAATGATTTGCGGTGGAGATTAGGTACATTATAAGATGAAACACAAAGTTTATGCATCTGAAAATTAGTTCATCAGAGAACCTGATAGTTACGTTTCAGAGGGAAAATGCAGTTTGTGTAGCTTGATAGAATGTTGGGGCAAATGAAGAAATGTAATTTAACATGCAATCAATAATTATTGAAAGACGCTTGTATGTGTTTTCTGTCTCCTTTGTTACATAGAAGTGAGAATTGGGAATGGCAGAAAATGAAAATAAATTATATGGCCCATCAGGTGGCAGTATGCGACCAGCTTTGTTCTATATTGGCATTCTTCAGATGTACATAGCCAGATGTTTTCTATAGATGTATTCTATATATGATCAATCCTCTGTTAGGAATTGGATTCTTCATCCATTGTACTTTAGATCAGGGGTTCTCAACCTGTGGGCTGCAGAGCGGTACCTATCCATGGCCCACCAAGAACCAGGCCACGGAGGGGAATGAAGCCCCACCCACTCACATGCAGGATCTAGGCAGGGTGCAAAACCATGCCCCTTGGTCTGCAGAGAAACTGTCTTCCATGGAACCAGTCCTTGGTGCCCAAAAGATTGGGGGCTGCTGTTTTAGACAACAGTGCATAAGTATTAGCAACTATTCAAATCCTGATGGTCAGCAGAGTTACAGGAAGAAATACATAGAATCAACCAGAATGATTGGTACTTTATATACGGTACCACTCAGTCAGCGATGCGCCAGGAAACACAACATTACTGGTTTTGTCCTTATTGGGAATGGTCATATATACAGCCTCTGAAAACTTAAGGGATGGGGGACAGTATATGCCTTTCTGATAGCCCCAATGGTATATGCACCCACCTTCATTCTCAGAGAAAAGAGATACAGATGTACATTGTGTCATGTCCCCAAGCGTGAGGATTTGCATCGTTATCATGATGGGAGATTTCTCTATTTTTACACATTGTGTATCTTGTGTGGGACTTCTCAATTACACTGACCACTAGGAGGCAGCGAGCATCTAAGGCTCTTCAGAAAATATTTTTTTTATATATTTCCAAGTGTCATTGGATTTAGGGGGAAGGGAAAGGTAAAATGCCTTTTTTAGTCTCAACTTTACCAGTGACAACCTTGCAATGTTAAACAGATGGTCATATGTCAAGTGCAGGCCAAAGACCTGTTCAGTATATCCTAGAACCATGATGATGAACCGGTGGCATGCAGAACCCTCTCTGTGGGCACGTGTGCTGCTGTGCTGTGAGCACCAACCGCACTTCTGGCATCCAGTGTGCATGCCAGCTGGTCTTCGCAGGCACTGGAGTGCCAACAAATGGCTTGAAAATGGCCAAAAACCAGGTCATTTTGGGGGGCTGTTTCCAGGCCTTTTTCCAGCCATTTTTTGGACTGTTTTTGGTCCAAAAATGCCCCCCAAAACAGCCCAGAAAATAGCCAAAAAAAAAAAAAAAAAACACAAGCCAAAAAAACCAGCCAAAAAACAGGCATGTGCACCGGCCAGCTGGTCTTCAGGTTTCCGGTGGTCTGGCGCGCACACGTGCAAGCAATGAACACGCATTCCCGTTTGGGCACTTGATCCTGAAAAGGTTCGCCATCACTGTCCTAGAATATGAATTGTTCAGTATATCCTAGATTTGTGGACCTCAACTTCCAGAATTCCTGAGCCAGCATAGCTCAGGAATTCTGGGAGTTGAGGTCGACAAGTCATAAAGGGGCCATTGTTGCCCACCCCGGTTCTAGAAGCAATTTCTTTCAAAAACTGTAAATAGGTCAAGATAATAATGTCAGTCCAATCAAGTCTAAAGGGAAAAGTGAAACAGAAACCTACTAAACTTATCTCAAAAATGAAGTGAAGTCAATATTGTGGACGTCTAACTTTTCACTTTAAAAGAACTGATGATCTTTAAGGGGATACACCATCTGCAGGATATCAGCTTTTAATGCTGGCTCTGAAGAAGGGGACATATTAGTGCTGAATGGGATCACATCTAAGGTTTATGTCCATTTTGTATCGTACAAAACCTCCGTACAGAAATGATAGTGTTTGTAGTGACCAAGTTAAATATTTGGATACCTTTTTTTTATTTTGGTTTCAGGGATTGGAGCAGGATTTCAAGAAAACATGATGATAGATGATAGATGATAGATGATAGATAGATAGATAGATAGATAGATAGATAGATAGATAGATAGATAGGATTTTATAAATCCTAACAGTCAGACCACCGAAGGGAAGAATCTAGAATGCATTATATGTGACTAGTTCATAATCGCTTCAACTGGCTCTACAGATACCTAAGAAACTGGACTCTTTTTATGATGATATTGCCAGCTTTCATTAAATATCTTAATACTATTTAACGTAGCCATTTTGGATTTGTGAGTCTAACATGGCTGTGATGCAATGCAGCATTCCCAACACAGGAAATTGTGGGTCTAAATTAAATTGCAATAAACATGAACTCCAAATCTGATTACAAATAATTATTTGTAGAACATGGATGAACAGCCTTCATCTAGGAGCACCATGCTGCCCTCCGAGACCTCTTTGTGGATCATGGGTACCTTTTCAATGCCTATAGACTTTCAGTAAGTTATGATTAAGTATAGTGGTTTTATTGTTACATAAAGTTTCAGAGAAACAATCAATGAGAATCAAAATTAAAGAGATGCAAAATATAGCCACTTTCCTCCTTGATGGTATCTGCTTGCCCCACTTATGTTGGCCTTCAACAGATTTCACACAATCTATGTTCAGCTCTTAACCCACAAAGTTGTGCCCTGTATGCTCGAGCCATACAACAATCTTTATCAAACAGGCACTTGGTGAACCCATGTATTCCTTCCACCAGACTTGGTCATTAAGAGGGGAGGGAATTCTCATTTTGCTGAGAATTAAGGAAAAAAGGAGAACATGATAAAATCTAGGGCAGGTGAGAACCACAAAAGATTGGAAGATGGAGAACAGTTTAAATATTAAACAGTGAATTCCAGTGAATTATCTGGAAGTATCCAGAAATAAATTGAGGTTCTTTAAGATTGCCATGGAACCTAGGGGGAGAGAAAGGAATATATTTGTAGCCTGCATAATCCATAGAGACATGGGGTTAAAAGAACCACAGTCCGGTTGATAAGGTCACCAATTGCACTGTTGGCATGTGTTATACAGCAATAATAGTGTGCAACTGCTTGAATGGTCATCTCCTCATTTCTAAGTAGAAGCATAAAACAAAAGCAACCTTGGCCACAGTCCTGGGCTCACTTACTCAGAAGTCAACACCATTCACTTGCTTCTGAGTTTATATTGCTCTGCACAAGACTGATATAAGAGGAAAATGTCAGGAATAGATAACAGAGCTAGGAGTATGACAAAACTGGGATGTTCTTTGATCTTTATGTTATCTTTCTGTAAGATGTCTTTATTGGGTGTGCTTTGGATAGACACAGAAGGAATAATGGATGAGCATGACAAGAGAGAAAGAATCTACACAATTCAAGAATAGTGCAATGTCTGATGAATTGTTATTGTCTATGGGGGCTTATGAGTAAGTATGCTCTTTGTATTTCCATTTACAACCCAGGAATATGTTTTCCTCTTCTCAGAATAATGTCTTTTATGTACTGTATAATTTTGGAAATGGGTATGTTTATTAGATGGGAGAGTTATAAAAATAGCATTTGTATCTTTTTCTCAGTTTATACTCATTTATCACAAACGCTGATCATATTCCATACCCATGGAATCCATGGTTCTAACTTATTGTATTTTAAGATTTAAGCATGTAAGTATTATGAGCACAATATGAAATATGGACCTTTGTACAAGGCCCAGTTCGCTGCCGAAAGATTGCAGTATAGCTAATAATATATAGTACAAAGGATTTCCTGTGTGGGAAAGTTAGAATCAAAGTTAGAACCAATGCAATACATTTTTCACTGTAAAGTTTTATTTTCTGACTCTGAAGCATATTAATAAGTGCTGGTCTTAGCTGTTGGATTCTCTATTGGATCTGGGTATTAATTGCTAGAGTACATGGATTTATTAATATTAAAGTGTTGGGGTTAGGGAATTAAAGTTGAAGCATACTAAGTATTTTTTTCAGTTGGTGATGTGAAGGTTGTGTAGGTTAATAAAAAGAATTCTTGCCCCTGTTAGCCAAAGGAAATTATGCTGTTATATCTTGGTTGAAATTAAAATTTGCTCTAATTCTCATGTGCAATATGCATAAGAATGAGTTTGTCAACCTTCTGATACTAAGTAATTTTATAGTAGAAGGGGGAAATATGCTTTGCTGTGACCCAGTTGTGCAAAATTCAGGAACAGTGCTCTGGAAAAGTAGACCTCACATTTCAATGAGTAGCCAATAAAGTATTTTCAAGAGTTATGTGACTATAATATGAGCCTGAGGTTCAGGAACATTCACTCCTGTTCATATAGGAACAGTCTGATTCTTATCACAATGTAGCTGTTAAAGCCATATTAAAATCAATGAATTCATCCAATGAAATAAATAGGTAGCTTTAGACCATGAAGAAAAATATCTTACAGACCTTATCTTTATCTGAGGACTTAAGCATCATTTTGTTTCAGGAAGGACAAGGGAAAGATACAGCAAAAGATATCATGGAGAATAATGATGATTCTTTTGAAACTAAGAATGCCAATGTCAACCCAGGAATTGATCAGAACCTTTTTATTGCTATCCTTATCATCTGCCATGGTCCCAATAATCATTTGGGCTCCCTCTTGGCTGTTGGGCCACAAACTTTTGCCTTGGGTTCCAGTCCTACCTATACACTTAGACTAATTTCAGCCAAAATGTGTTTTAAATAACCTTTGTGAGGATAAACTAGTCTATGCATGCAATCCTAAACTTCCCAGAAAATAGTGCAGCTAATAAAGTAGCCCCATTGATTTATTTAGCTAGGCATGCATTGGCTGCTTTAATTGGACCATAATTTAAACATGGGTAGGTATGTTGTTTCACAGCTAGACTGTTAAACAATCTGATGGACTATAGTGACTTTTTACATGTAGGTAGTGTAAGACTCAACCTCAGGAACTTTAAGACATGTGGACTTCAACTCCCACCATGGCTGACTAGGAAATCCTGAGAATTGAAGTCTATGCATCTTAAAGTTGCTGAGGTTGAGAAACGTTGATATAAGTGAGACTTAGGCATTATACTTGTTAGTGCTGCATCTTCAAGACAGACATTTCTGAAAATCACTTTCTGATTGAGACTTCCATCCTTTCTATGTCTCTGTGTGTGTTTCAAGAGGAAAAAAAGATCATTTGATTAAGGATCTAAAATCTCAAATAACTCATACTTTCTGCAATGTCTTTCACTAATTAAAGTAGAACAACAACCTTTCCATCATGGTGGACCAGTGGTTGTGGTGATGAGGGAATGGTGAGGCAGGCACACACATGAGTGCACACAGCTCCATATGTGCAAGAACTGTGCGTACGCACCTGGTGCTCACACAAATGGAGTTTTGCATGCAAGCATGAGCACATGCCGCTTGTGTGGCCCAGTTCCAAATGGGCCATTGCCCGATAATGGGCCACGGCCCAGGGGTTGGGAAAACCTCTGAAGTAGAATACCTTGCAGAAACTCTTTGGGTTGATTTCTCTGGTTTTCATTCATTCCTGCTGCTGTCAATTGAAATTTCCTCCTAGGAAATAAGGCCTGGAGTAGCAACCTTTTACTTTATACATTTAGTCAGAGGAACCCACAACCTGCAAGTGCTAAGAAACCGTGACAACTGACAAGGCCTGAGCCTATAAATCTTATTTATGCTTGTGAATGTGGAACAGGAAACGTCTTATGAAAAATACAGTGGGCTCTGTTAGATTTGGAAACAGACATATTATAATAAGATTACCTCACATTTTCATTTTTCTTTTCTCAAAAGGGAAAAGCAGCATAATGTGACAGGAAAGAACATTTGGTGGGCAGGAACCATATTTAACATTTGGGGTGAGACAGAGGAAGCTGTGATAATGCAAGGAAGATGGAGCTCCTGTACCACAGATGAGCAGATCCAGATCACAACAAACTTGAGAGGTCACTCTTTTTAAAGACCTTGTTGTCAACATCAGATGCCAGTGGCAGCAGTTTTGTAGAGTTTCAGCCAAGACCCATACTGAACGATCCCAGGAAATAGTCCTGCAAACATTTACCATCATATTTCCTTATATGATCTACCAGAAATTGGGTAGACATATTGATTCTCTTCTCATCTAATTCTGTGCTTAACTGAATAAAGCATATTCGGATATTACATTCTATGACAAACATGATCTCTTTCGTTAGGACTCCATTTAACCCCATTCTTTGCAGAAGAGCAGGGATTGTGGAAAGATTTTCCCACAGAAAAGAAGAAGAAAGAAGAATTTGAAGATTTTCAGTATAATTGAACCGAACTCCCATCAGCCCTGCTGCTGTAAACAATTATCAAGGATGATAGAAATTGTAGTCCACAGCTTGCCACTCTATTTTAGATTGTGTTGTCAATATCTATGACTTTCAGTGACAAAACTGTGATAGGAGGACAGAAAGATCCATCCAAGTGCAAAAAGTTTGCAACTCCCCCCCGCCTTTCCAGGGCCAGTAGAGCTGAGATTGCTTTGCAGAAGGACTCACAAAGAGAATTGTGAAGTTTGAATGGCGGGGGGTGGGTGGGTGGGGGAGACAAGCCATATCTTGCTGGTTTGTTTGGTATTCCAAGTTCAAAGAGGCTGAAGCACCATGGCCGGAATGAAGTTTGCAGATTAGCCACATTGCCTGAGGTTTGCCAAAAGCAGGTCAAGTTCATCAGGTGTACAGATACGTTCAGAGCTTTCTCATCTCCAAGGCTGATAATAAGGCTGGTCTCCAATCACTTCTGAAACTCAGCAGAAGGCTGTTAATATTGATATGGTTAATATACATCAAACAGGATCACTTTAATTTTTTTCCCCCCAAAATCGAAAAATCCTCCATAGCGTTGACATTTCCTCGGTGAACTCTCAGGACTGTTTGGTTTCCAAGACTGTATTTTGTTTTAAATAATCCTTCATAAAAAATTCAGCTTTCTGTCTAATATGATTGAAACCCAGCTTGAGTGTGTTTTATAATGCATTGAACTTGTAAGACTACGGGTGTTGCATTATTCAGAACATGACGGAGGGGAAAAAAAAACATAGCAATATACGTGTGTGTTCAGAGAGTGGAATCAAAGAAATCAGTGCAAACCGATCTGTCACGTTATCTCATTTTATTTACTTTTCAGCACTCATCCAAATATTAGAGGGAGAGAAAAATCAATATCAATTTTCACCTTTGTCACGTCCCAGGCTTCAAATATTAATGAATGTCAAATTTGACCACGTTGCTTCACACCACCTGCTCTGCAATAATATTTCAGAACCTTTATTAAAAATGTAAAATTGTCATTGAATTTCCAAATACGATTCTCCAGTGGCTAATTCAGCTTGTTTTATTAATAAGTGGGTTCTGATGAGTAATGCTAATTTAATATGCCTGCATGTAAGATTAAACCATAAATTATTTCTGCTGAAGGTGATGAAGTTTGACTGCTACATGGTTGTCAAGTAATAACTTTCCACGTTAACCCTGTAGGTAGAAAAGTGGAAGGATATATTATTCCTAGGAAGGACAGAGGGAATCAGTTTATATTTTAGAATAAGGACTAATATAAGCTGTTATAAACCCTCAACCTACATCAGTTCATTTAGTGACCATTCAAAGTTACAATGGCACTGAAAAAAACTGACTTATGACCATTTAGCCACCCTGAGTCTCCGGAGAAAGGCGGCATATAAATTGAACTAAATAAATAAATAAATAAATAAATAAATAAATAAATAAATAAATAAATAAATTTTTCACACATACAACCATTGCAGCATCCCCATGGTCATGTGATTAAAATTCAGACGCTTGTCACCTGACTCATATTTATGACGTTTGCAGTGTCCCAGGTCCATGTGATCCCTTTGGGGACCTTCCGACAAGCAAAGTCAATAGGGAAGCTAGATTCGGTTAACAACCATGTTATTAATTTAACAGCTGCAGTGATTCACTTAAGAAACGTGGCAAAAAAAGATCATAAAATGGGGCAAAATTCACTTAACAAATGTCTCACTTAAGCAACAGAAATGTTGGGCTCAATTGTGGTCGTAAATTGAGGACCACCTCTACACCTTTTTCCGTAGTATAAATTTCGTCTATAGAACAATTTATTATCAGGTTGCATACGGGATAGTAGGAATGTTTGAATTAGTACAATGGCTGAGAGCTTTCCTATATTTTTTCCTCATTTTTTTCCCAAAGTTTTCTTTCCTGGAGAAGAAGCTTAAATTTTATTGCTTTATGATTAGGGTTCTTTAGAGTTCCTATCTGTAATATTTCTCGGCTTACTTTATTGTTCTAAGGAAAGAGAAGTTACTTTCTGTTTCATATGCCTGGTAGCACATTTGTGCAGCTTTCATGCCTACCCATGATTGGATCCCATGGCAAAGAGGACCTTATTCTTGGAATTTAGTTGTGACCATGGGAATCTGCAGCATGTTTAGAGTCCATTAGATTGATTTTTAAAAAAGTGTTTTTAGATGTCACTAGGCAAGCTCTGTCCCTTACATACTTATCTGCAGTGTTGTGATTCAAGTACAAAAGGACTGTAGGTTGTATTGTGGTGCTGTGTTATTCATTTCATCATTTACTCCTCTTATTCCCCATTAGAGAGGCCATGATGTCAGGAAGTCTGCAACACTCTCTCTCTCTCTCTCTCTCTCTCTCTCTCTCTCTCTCTCTCTCTCACAAACACAAGCCTCAAATGGCATTCTTTAGCCATTAGAATATCACTAAATGTTTTCTTCAGGAAAAAAAAAACAATTCCTGTCACCAAACTGAATAATAAAGGTTGAAACTATTACCAAAGAAATAAAATCTATGTATCCTTACTATTTATGGAAAGAATTAGTGATTGCCCTTTATAATTTCAAGGAAGATTCATCAAAACAAACCAAGTTGCTTTCTTTGCACTTTTTACAAGAAGCAGTAAAAAAAAAAAAAAAATCTCAGCAGTTCTTTTAGGCTTTTCCAAATACAAGTGACCCAATCTTTCCTAAAGAAATTTAAAACAAACAAACAAACATAGCTATTCTAATCTAAAAACCTAATCTCAGAAGAAATTGCTCTGCTTATCCAACATCATAAAAGCTGTTTCAATGTGCAGTGATGCTGAGAAAACATTTTGGCATTCACAGTGGGGATAGCATCTCATTTTGAGAAGTATATGTTAAGAATAAAGATCATATTGATGTAAATCACTGCATTAGAAGACACTATGCACATGTAACAGTAGAGATTCCACATATTCTGGTGGTAGTATGGTTAGTATGTCTCATTTTTGTTAGCATTGTGTGTAAAATAAACATCAAGGATATATACGCGAAGCGCATGCATGAAGCGAACCTGTGGTAACACCAGTTGAAACCCACCACTGATTCACCAGCACATTATTATTAGAATAATAATTTCTATCATTAGAACTGGATTATTAAATAATAATGATAATAAAGGACAGTTGCAATTAGAGAAGAGTATATGCTCCAAAATAATTACCTGAAAGGTAGATGTAAGTGTTGATTTTATAGTGCTGTCAGAAAACATATCTATCCTCTTCTGAATTTGTACAATGAGTCAATATGAAAAAAGTTATTTCCTTCCAATTAAATCAACTCAGTTAAAAGGAATAGGAATGGGCAGTTGTGTGAGAAGTTCATGAAACAATTGGAAATAATCTGGGCCAGGTCTAATATATATATATATATATCTCCCTCCCTCCCTCTCTCTCTCTCTCTATCATTATCTGCCTCAATTGCTGTCTGTCTGTTTCTACCTCTATCTCATTCAGATTCACTTTGTATATCAGAAAGACCCACACAAAGTTCTGATTTAGTTTTAATAATTCTAACAATATCTGGTTTCCCCCTATATGGGGTGGGGGAGGAATCTTCAGTGGATCCAAAAGGAATGGAGTTATAGTTTCATCGCATTGTAATTGCATTTGGAATGGAATACATTTTTGAAAACAATAATTTCTAAGTTCACACTAGCTGATTTTCTGAACACAGTTTTTTTTAAAAAAATTCAGTATGTGAGGAAGCTGCTCATCAAAATATCACATACAGCTTTGGATAGGTATTATAAAAAATATTGGCCCAATAAATTTACTACTCGAAGCTTCAGACTGTTGTAATCCTATAAAGAAATGGAGAAAAAAATTGTTTGGTCTGCATTTTTGAATGTGCAGACTTAACCTGTACTTTCAGGATTTATATAAGGACTGAAAAAGAGTTAATTTTGTGAATTAAACACTTCTCCAAATATTTTACTGCTGTTTTCAACTTTATAAAGAAGCATGTTAGGGTAAAGTATTGACATATTTGGGGTCAATTTGTATTTTAGGGAAAAATTGCATTTAAATCTAAAAAGTGAGATTGATAGATGAAACAGATTTGTGACTAATGGCGTATGAAATTGGCATAGAATGGAAACAGATGTATTTTCCATTCTGAATTCTAGGTATCTATTCAATAATGTGTCCCATACAGTTCAATGGGATTACCTTCATAGATAGAAAAAGGATTGTAGTCTAATCTGATTTATGGGGTAGGTTGAGTTTCTTAATCAATTCACGAGAAGATGAATATAAGTCTGCAGTTTGCTCTTGGTTTGTGTCACTTGTCCATTAATTATTTGCAGCATATTCACTATATCCATGATCGCTAGGAGAGGAAAACGAGAAATTGACTCAATAATTCAAGGGACAATAATTGGATAAAATGCTTCCACTCATAGACAATAGGCAAATGACAAAATAGTTCACTGATTTACTGCATTCAAGGTTATTCTGATGATGACTGCAACACACAACATATAATGGAATGAAAGAACCATAAGCTCAACATTATACAAATCAAACTCCAACACTTCCTGTACACATTTCACCTTCTAGTTTACGCTGTAAAACCTTAAAGTGCAAAATATTGCAATGGAAGTACAAGATTTGTGGAATGGTAGCTTAAGTTTACAACATGTGCATAATGCAGACAGTATGATGTGGGTCTCAACCTTATACAATATAAAATGGTGTAGCCGCAAAATTACTGCTCAGCCTTTGAATATATAGGAAGCTTGTTGAGTTCTATACTATTACAAAAATCAAGAAGTAGAATAGCAACTAATAAGAAGTAGAATTTATTCTGTCTGAAA